AAAATAAAATAAATAATAAAAACAAAGGTCGATGAAATGGACCAATACGGCAATGCCATGATGATCCATTTGGCAAAATAAATCCATTGGGTATCCTTGTTGGTCTTCAGACAACAATTCTGACGGCTAAAGAACCAAATGGGACAGGCAAGAAAAAAAAAAGAAAAAAAAAGAAAATAAGGCTAAAAAACACCATTGTTCCACTAAAGCAGGGGTCCCCAATCCCAGTCCACGAGGGCTGGTGTCCCTGCAGGTTTTAGATCTCACCCACATGTTGAGAAGGTAGTTTATCCATTTAAATCAGCTGTGCTGGATCAAGGACACATCTAAAACCTGCAGGGACACCGGCCCTCGAGGACTGGGATTGGGGACCCCTGCACTAAAGGAAAAAGCACCCCAGACCATTATGGTGTCCCCTCTACTGTGGCGCATACAAAACATCTTCGGTGGGATCTGCTTGTCATGCTTGTAACATTGGAAACCACCAGAACCAAGTACATTTTTTTCTCGTCAGAGAATAAAACTTTCTTCCACCTTTCAGTGTCCCATGTTTGATGCTTTCTTGCAAAGTCTAAACGGTCAGTTATGTTGCATTCAAGGAGATGAGGCCTTTGAAGACGTTGTTTGTTTATGAAGCCCTTCAGTCTCAGGTGCCGTCAGATGGTTATAGGGCTGCAATCGGCACCAGTAATGGCCTTAATTTGAGTCGAGGATAGTCCACTGTCTTGATGGACAAACCAATTGGATCCTCTGGCTCAGTGCTGGTGAAAATCTTTTTGCATCTTCCACTTGACAGTTTTGTTCCATAACCCTCAGAATCATTTAAGAAATTCCAAATGACTGTCTTACTCCAACCCACCTCAGCAGCGATGGCGTGCCTTGAAAGACCCTGCTTATGCAGTTCAACAACCCGGCCACGTTTAAAAAGGGAACATTTTTTGCCTTTCAGAATTTCATGACAGTGTGACTACCTGACAGAAAGTGACAACAAATCTGCATTTTTGCATACATTTGGCCTTTTAAAGACATGTGGTCTTAAACCTTTGATCAACTGTAAAACAGCCTGTTTCAGTTTAAGCGTTGTTTTCAATAAATTGCATGCTCAAAAAAGTTTTTGTCTCTCGCTAATTTCTTCTTGTTACATGTTGAAGCTCTACTTATAAACAGTGTTGGTCAAGTTACTTGAAAAAAGTAATCAGTAACTAATTACTGATTACTTCCCCAAAAAATTAATCCCGTTACTTTACTGATTACTTATTTTCAAAAGTAATTAATTACTTAGTTACTTAGTTTTTAAAAACACGATTTACAA